TGATGTAGCATAGTGAGGGGAAATACAAAAAATAACACTTATTACACAGCTGAAGTGATGTTTAAATTTACGAGAAAATAAAGCAAAAATAATTGGGAGGAGTATAAGCATAAGAAGAAAAATAAAAATGAAGCTTGTTGTAATAAGGATGCATAAATGGTTTATTCGCTAGTGCAAAGAATGTTAGTTTGTTGGTCCCTTGCACTATTTTCATCACATAAAATACGTGCCAAACGTGATATCGTAGATGTTTTATAATAAGACGTGCACGCATCAAGTCTTTTGAAATTACTTCTTGGTTTACCTAGTTAGATACAAAGTGAGAGCTGTAGGTAAAGTGGATGCTCACAGTCTGCTGAATTCAACGATGTGGCTCAAAGAGAGACCACTTGCCTTATTGACAGTCTTCAGAGTTCTACGAAGTATGACATAGTCTTTTTTAAGCAGTCCAAGAAAGAAGAGTGAGCACTGAAGAAGAATGTGCAAGATGCAAGAGTTGAAAAGTGTAAGGTGAGGGTTTGAGTTATGCCTGAGTGCGTTAGCCTCTTAATGTGAGAAGTCAGACGAAATATTATTATATAAATCGCTAAGATATGGGAAGACCAGAATAGGTCAGAAGAAAGAATGAATCCAAGATACTTAACTTCGGACTTGATTTCTATATCACTGTCATCAATTATACATGGGAAATAACAGCTTCATTTAACTTTGTTTCACATCGGAAACTGAAATTAACAGTCTGACACTTGGAAGGATTTAGTTTAAGGCCATTAGACGACGACCATTATCTGACTCCCGATAGAAAGACATTCATCTTGGGACAGTCTAGCTGGGAGTTAACAGACATTGTAACAGTTAGATCCCACGCATTATTATCAAAGTTCGTTTCATCAGAATGAGCCAAGTCATACAAGGAGGAAGGAAACAGAAAAGGAGAAGGAGCCGCGCCTTGATGGACACCAGTCCCGGTAAGCAATGAAGTGGACGACTTCCCCTGGCACACAGTGTGCTGCTTTCTTCCTGAGAAACAAGAATGCAGACATTTGACAACCCAGCACTCAGTTCTAGTTTCAGAAAGCTTATTTAACAAAATACCCTTAGTTACTAAGTTAAAAGCAAATGTTTAATCTAGGAAGGTGCAGAGAGCAAATTTAGCCCTTTTGTTTAAACTGGAGACAATGTTATTACACAAGACTTCAGCTGCATCTAAAGTAATTCTACTATGTCGGTAGGCAAATCATTTGGAATCGTTAAAGGCTTTAAGTGAAGGTTGAAGTTTAAGTAAAAGTAACTTTTCATAGTTTGCAGAAAAGATGTTATAGCAATAGGTCTAGATTTCATACCAGTAGGTGACTTATGTACAATTTTAATATCCTTCCAAACGGCTGGCGCTGTATTTTTGGAAAAAGATCCATTTATTGTGTCAGTGAGGGGATAACATAAGATATCTTCACATTTGTTAAAAATAACGCTAGGTACATCACCTGGACTTAGGAAAAGAGAGGGGTTTAGAGACTGGAAACATTTTAGAAAGTCATTTGTGTTGAAACCAGGTAAGCAACTTTCACTTGTGACACAAGCTTGGCATTTGTGCAAGAATATACGGAAGACATGTGTAGAGTACACACATCAAATGAATAAGTAACACTGTTTTATCTGCTTACGTCCTACAATTTCTTTGAAAAGTTTTCGTATATTAGAGACGAGTGGCTTTATTGCATATCCCGTCTAATTCTGGCGTCGCAGTCCGTTGCTACGTTTAGGTACAAGTCATGTCTTTTATATGCTTTTTAAATGAAATTTTGCATTAAAAACTTTCATGATGTACATAATATCGGCTACACAATATACTTGAACTGCATTACATGTGCTGAGCTTGTATCAGGAAACGCCGCTTGATACTTTCAAAAAAGTGATAATGTATACTAATTCACAATTGTAATTCGTAACATAATTGATCGTGCCTGTAAAAATGGCATGCATTTCATGTAAACTTATCTGTTTATACGAAATATAAATTACAAATTATTATCATACTGATATCTGCGCAATGTGATGAGTTAAGTAGGGTAGGAAGTTCAAAATTTAAACATATATTTTTGATTTTTCTTGAGATCATGTTGGTATATTCGACCTGTTTAAGGTAACGCAATTATCTTAATTGGTTTGATAGTTGTTTTCATTCATAGCAGGGTTTGGCATTAATTTCCTTTTCCACTGACTCATCACAGTATACTTTACATTTTGAGACAGGAAACACTGGTACTATGGGAATAATATATAGCAATGTTGTTCTGAACAACAGCTGATCGGAAAATTCACAACCGAATACACGTTGCCAGCAAGCGCAAAGAAAATTTTCGAAATCCGGTCGCCGACTTGTACGCGAAACATACTCGGTATACCAAATAACCATTGTATGAATCATCTATTTAAGTGACCTGCCGCACAAACAATACTTCCATGCTTAAGAACAATATCAAGCAACAATTTTCATACACATTCACCCAGAAAGAGTTAACTAAGCATCGAAATCACGTCAGCTCCATTTACCTAAACTAAACAACGCAGACTGGCCCAACGCGAATCAACTAAACCGCGCAAATACCGACAAGCTGAAGCGGGTGGTGCCAATTCAAATAGGGGATATGCCATATAAGCGCCCTATGAATAAACCCATTCCGATTGTTTGTACTAAAAATTGTCATTCAGACCTTTGGAAAATCGTTGATTTATGATGCTTCACCATTGTAATTTATAACGCGACTGATGTACCAGTAAAAATGACACGAATTTCCTGTAAACTTACCCGTTTATGCGGAATATCAACCATTGTTACTGACTGTCGTCCTAAATTCTTTAGAATCATATCCCGCCGGGTCAAACGTTGATGACCTGACTCCATTAATGTATTTGAACTTCTCAAAGGAACAACATAGTTCCCCAATCCAAACCTCAGTAAGTTAAGGAATAGGAACCCAACGGGAAGAACGCGTCAGCGACCGTGTAACGTGCAAGCACTGCAAATTTATGAAACCATACAAGTGACACCACACAAGCAAAGGTATTATGAACGAATTAAAAGAATACTAAGCAGAATATCTGGTAACTTCTATGTTAGTTAAGGGAAAAATTAAGGCTGGAAATTGATTAAGGACAGATGTCAGTAACGTTGTCAGGAAAATCTGCAGTAGCGGAAGACAACTCTCCGGGAATGGGAACACTATGTTACTTGACTTCAATGCAAGAAGTATCAAGAGACGGCCGGTAAGTTGAAGATTTATTGATCAAACGAGTATAAGCCAGTATATCAAGTTAATTGCAAACCGATTTGACCATGTGATTCACAGTTGGTTACTGCCAATACACTGAAAAGTTTGCAGACAACGTCAGTATAATAAACATTAATACTTCTGATCACACTGCTCCGCTCTTCTGCTGTGAGTAAACGTCTAAGCCACGATAGGGATTATTGCCTTCGACGAGCAGGAGCTATTTCAACTAAACAAGTTCATTGAACGTCCATCCGGTGTTCACCATTACTGACAACAGGTTTGGGGAGGATTGAGATTGTTGTTGAGTTGAAAGCCTACATATTCCTTTTTGTTGGTGTTTGGTAGCTTCAAGGCCATCGGTGCCTTCGTTTCCCTTGTATCACTGTATTTTTACTTGCTCCTCCGCCCTGTAACCGGAATTTATTTATCGCCTTCTTGTTTGGCTGCCCCGGGTTTCTCTCTAATTTCTTCACTTTTAAATATAGATAAATATAGAATTTCCTACTAGTTGAAGTGCAACATGAATGAGTGCCGTACGGTATGACAGAAACTGTTAGGCTGATATCCATTTAGTTTCACTATAAAGATTACGTCATTTGAGGCGGTCAGGCAGCTTTCGTCTTGGAAAATGCCACTGGAAGTGAATTGCATTCATAATATTTTTGTAACAGACTCTTCCATCGAATGTAATACCTTAGTTATCGACCAAAAACTCGTAATATCTTAGAAGAGAGTTGTAACGTTTGAACACTTTTTTTTGAAGGCGCAGTGGAGGGATTGGAGAAACCTAGTAAAACGCACGTAGGGTTATTTACAGTTCAAATCGTTCATTAGCTAATAAGAGCCCTACAAATTACAAAGGAGATATGGTTCACACTGGGTTACTTGTCTCTTCTTTCTGAATTCCTTAATTACTAACTGCCTGCGACTGACCGAATTGTTCTATATTGAATATTTTCTACAATATAATGCTATTACTCAGTCCTTTGCAGGCCATTATCAGCGAATTCTCTTGAATGACAATAATCGTTCAAGGTATACTGCAGTCAAACGAAATGGTAAGCGACTGTCTTTTATAGACTAGACTAAACGAAAGCCTGGCCACATTCTCAGGCTTACATGATTACTGTACGTACAAGCCCTTGGGAAGGCGAAATTGCTTTCCAGACAATTTTTGTCACCGTAGACTTGTGGGAGCTTACCCGTTGGAGATGAGTCAAATAAGAATCTCAGCGACATACACAACGAGTTTATATTAACGAGGACAGTATTTCTGGAGTAACAAAATGACTAAAATTCTTCGCCGTTCACTAATTATCTCTCATCGAACTGCAACTCCTGAGAGACTTCCTGGTATCTGAAGTGTCACTTATGCTGTGTCAGTATCTGCAAAAAATCATGTACCACCTGAGAATCACATAATCAACACACCAAAATAATGCCCAGATATACATACTGTTTCGGATCACATAGAGGTCACTGCTCTTAGGAGCCTTGATCAGACGGCTAAAAGGAGGACTGACTATAAATTGAGTGGAATGCATGACTATATGGCTCCTATCGTGGTATCAGAGTATGTCTTTTACAGCCTGGTAGTATTACTTTTCTCTCTGACTGGTACAGTGTAAATTTGACTGTTGGCCTACAGTAGAAAAATACAAGAGGTCAAATTAATGCTAGGAAGCTGGAAAACCTGTCGAATTCGTTCATCACTAGTTGAGACTTTGAATTTTGGCTTCTTGTAACGTAACTAACCAATTGTCAGAGTCAAGCAGTATATGTTGAGGTATAAATTAACTTTTTACACCAATATCTACCAAAAATTTGAAGATAGAATGGTTTCATAGTTTTAATAATTCTATTCTGTACCCCAAGAAGCGCAGTAATTTCAAAAGTTTTTCGGGATGCGCTACCTTAAGAGTTTGGAAGGTGTCGCTCGATGCAGGACCATCCCACTAAGTTGTGAGAAGGCCGAATTAACAGCAGTTGTCCCACGGAAAAAGGCACTACTGCCACTAGCACCTATTGTTAAGTCTTCGCATGACTTACTTCAAGCACTCCCCAGGTCTCCGTTCATATCGTGTAAATGCAGTTTCACTGGTAATTCCTTTTCATTTAATAATCTGACAGAACAGCTCCAATGCAGATTAGATTTGCCCACACGGATGTTACAAATGTTCCTGACTTTACAAATTATCGGTTAGAGGTGAATAAAGATCCTCACTCAAAAACCTCCGACACCGATGTGCAACGCAAAGTCTTTTCATATACGATGATGTTCGGTAAGTGCTAGTTTTGCCGTAGGACTCATGCTGCAAGCTTTCAAAACCTCAAGGTAGTTTTGGTCTTCACCGAACCGTCATTGAAGTACATGGGGCCAACTGTACTATTGTTCGAGATTTTATATCCTCTATTGCTTTTCGTATTGGTTTTAGTGAGTGTGTGGTTTTCCATTGGGCTAGCTTAGAGATTAAACAGGTTTGCTTTCAACTAGTAGTTTTTGGTGTGTTCTGTGTTGTGTGGAAGGTAGTGCAGTTAACATGAGCGTTAAGCATTTTCGTGGTATGTATACCCTTCACACGAAATTATTCATTGTGTGCTTAAAGTCGGTCTATGGTTTTTCCTGGGTCCCTACGGATGGTACAAGATTGGTCTGTAAATGTCAGAGTTTGTGGTCAAATCTAGCTTGTTACTACCCTCATTTGTATGTTTTGGCTGACTTACGAAAGCCTCGGAATAAGAATACAAATCCAGAACATCCAGGGGGTTCTTAAAGGCCACTTAGATTATGTGGAGCTGTGTTCCTACACCTCTTTTATTTATAATAGCTGTACTTTGAGTCTCAATTAAAAACTGTTAGCTCGGAGCCATAGGTTATACAATCCCAACTTATAACTTCGGATTGGGGGGAGTAAAGAATAGGACTTCGTTTTGATAAGTCGGGGAGAGCCACGTAATAAGTCCTGTTCTAGCTTTATTTAAGTTGTGGCAGTTATCAGAGCAGAACGTTGCCAGTAGAGTCATAACATGTAGTTATTTTTCTGATTATTGACCAATGCAACACATTCGTTTTGTTATTTTTTCTATCTGTTGATAGCGTTTCCATCTATTCCAGTTTCTATATCATTAAAAGTGAATCACTAGTTACAATTTAACTTATTTTCGTTTTAGCTGCCGGTGTACTTGTTACCACATCAGCTAAGTTCGCTGTTAGGACGTTTATCAAACCTTTGGGACCTTCAGCCAGAACTATGGCGGAGGCCTCCACAGAAGTTAACCTTGCTGCCATTCCAGAAGGGAAAAATATCACAGTCAAATGGCGAAATAAACCATTATTCATCCGTCACAGAACAGCAGAAGAAGTTGCACGTGAGCGCGCAGTTCCTTTAACCGCCTTAAGGCATCCTCAGCGGGATGAGGATCGCGTAAAAGAAGACAAATGGCTCATATGTCTGGGAGTATGTACTCATTTGGGTAAGCATAATTTCTCTTAATGTGTGCAAAATATGGTTTCACTTAGTTGTTACAAAAGGAGTAATCTCTTTGCTAGTACCGTTTATTTGCCAATAACTTAGTGCCCTTATTTCAGTTAAGGGACATGGGCACACAATGAGGATAACGTATCATGTTCGTAGCATTTTGGAGAACAGGAAATCACTCGATGTCTAGACGTATTTCTTTTGAAATACATTTAAATGTTTTTGTTGTAATGTTAAATTTAAATTAGAGAGGCAAAGTTAAGTAAAGGACGTTATTAATCTGCACACCCTAGTTTTTCTGTAGCGTCAAAAGTATCAATGGTTTAACAATACATGTTATTACTATTATGGTGATTTAAGCGTGACACAAGACAATTAGTAGCTGTCCAACGAAGCAACAAAGATTTCCTTTTGGATCTGTATATTTTATATTGTATGACTCACTAGAGGGTGGTTATGAAACGCTATTGGATGTTCAGCAATTAATAGTGCTCATTACTAGTTGTGTGATTTAAGGGGATATCCTAGCATGTTTATCAAAGATTTTATATCAAATCATCCTGATTTCTTTTCTTCAGGCTGTATTCCAATAGCTCACGCTGGTGATTTTCCAGGAGGATACTACTGTCCCTGTCACGGTAGTCACTATGATGCTTCTGGTCGCATCAGGAAAGGTCCTGCTCCACTAAATTTGGAAGTGCCTGAATACAAGTTTTTGGACGAGAATACCGTTATTGTTGGCTGACATTTCCATGAAGCATCTTTATTTAGAACACTAACCTTAGCAATTTATTTCTCAGAGTGGAGAGCTCTTTTTCCAGTTTTGCTTAAATGTATTTCGGAGTAAGAATTTATTCTTTCAGTATCTTATCATTTTCGGTTAGTATACTCCTTTGCACTTGACCCATAGTTCTGAATATCATCTTTTGTAAGAATTTGTTCCTGAGATTGAATGTTAGTAGAATTCGTGTTAATTGTGATTAGCTAATTTTTATTCAGTAGTCCTGTGCGTTTATCGGTAATCTACGAACTTAGTAAAATCGTGATATATATATATATATATATTGGTGAATTTCGCGTATTAGAGAGTGAAACACTAATGCTCCTGTTACGTTATCATTCAGTTTAACTGAAATGATGTGTTTTAAACTTAGCCGTCTTAGCATGCACGAGTCTCTGTGGTGTTTGGTTTGATGGACATTTTTATTACGTTCTGTAGGATGTATCGCCATCCCAATACGTATAGACTACTGTTTACGAAATACAACGTGATATCCCATAGTGTAATCTGTGTTTTTGAATCGTAATTTTCAGGATTGATATCCTGTTTTTTTCTGAACTAGTTTGTCTTGAATGTTTACTTTAAGTGAAACCTTTTTGATACCAACTTCCATATTATGTACCATATTGGTGGTATTCCAAGCTGGGCGGGGAAAGAAATTTATATGGAATTAATGAAGCATTCAGTATTCACCAGTAACTGAAAAATCCAACAAACGAATGTCTGTCTCTTAATTTCTTCCGTTAGAGTCCAAATTTTTGGACGTTGTTCATGCTGCGGCCTTCGTTAGAAAAGTCCTCTGTTATTTTTATGTTAGGGAGACGTATTCGAGTGCGCTAATCGTGGGGACACACAAACCGGATAATGAGACATTTTTGTGGCCAATGTTTCGACTTGACTATCCAAACTTGTATCGAGCAAAATTCTTACTCCTGGTACACTGATTGGATGTTGAGTTGTTCAGTCATACAGTCGCAGTTTTGCCTAGTGTTTTTGTAAAGTAATATTTGGTGCATGTGATGCGGCCGGTGGATATGTACGGTTGACCTGGTGGAGTGACAGAAATGTTTTGTCCGATAATTCACAGGCCCAGAGGAGGGTGGTATAGCCTGATCACGCACAGATATTAGAGCTATTATATAGTAATGAAGCATGAGACGTATTGTAACTCACCGAAAGCTTACATCTTTGTTCTTAGGGTAGAACCGGTTAAAAGTGTCAGCATGAGTTCTACATTGTTTAGTATTATTAAAACTCGTTAGATTAAGCTGATGGTGCCCATACATGATATTATAGTGATGGAAACTAGGTCCGTTCACACCGCGTGTATTTCTCTATGATACCATTTATTGAATCATCTTGGTGTTTTACTAGTTCCCTATGAAGTTGTTTTGCTCTTCATAAAACATTTTGATCCCTGCCAACGACGCGATGCATGTTTGCATCACAAACAGAATACTCACTTGACTAAAGTTTCGTACCAGTTACTTCATTTCTTCGTTTCTCGTTTTACTATTATTACTATTTTCCAAAATATACATTGTATACATGTTTTTTTGTTTTCATCATGTTACTACTTATTATTTAGCAGAACTGATTAATTACCGTCATATGTCGGACTCGTGTTTCTAATATAATTTTAGAACTCACTTACTAAGTGGACACAGAGTTACACTTTACGACGATATCATTCGCAAGTTGTACAATCGCATATGTATAGTGAATTATCTTAGCAACAAAAGGAATATTTCCAAAGATGTTTCCTTAGAATTGTAAATTTTTGGTCACAAATTCCGTAATGCAGTAAGCGTTAATCGAGGAGAAACTGAAGAATTAAATAGATTGAGTGACATAATATGACTGACGGGATTCAGTAGAATTCGACTAATTTTGAACGAGGGTCAAGTTAACCGTGGTAATAAGGGGTAGAAATTTAATAGAGGCTTAAAGGGAGAAAATAGTAAAATTAAGAAACAAAAGTAAAAATTATGTATCCGGTGTTAGGATAGATCAAGTTTACTGAAGATTCATTTACTGATTTAACATGTGAATTGGCGTTGCTTCTGCGGTTTGAAGGAGTTTGACTAGTACTCTTTTAGTCAGATTCCCACGTATTCTGTAGATAACGTTGGGTTAGCTTGGTGTCCAGATTCGATCAGGTGTTTCAGGATAGAGCTGTGGGGGGATCTTTTTCCTCCTTTACAAGACCATGAAAGTGTTCGATGATACGTTTGGATAGCCAACGCTAGGTACGGTGGACATACCCAACTCAACACGGGCAAGTGATTGGTAGATGCACATTGATAAGGTGAACAGTGGTAGCTTATCCTTCACGTTCATGCCAATCATTGGTTTTGTAGAGAAAGTTATTCGAAGTTCAGCCCCGAAGACGGATTTCAGTGAGTGGGTCAGGCGGCTTCTCAGTATTCCTACCAATGATTCTTCATTGAATTGTAAATTCAAGTAGATAAGTTTTTTGGAAGCAGGAAGTGTGAGCGGTCTTATTGGCTTAGGCCTCATGGATTTTGTGGTGAAACGTCCTGGGTAGTCATTTTCAAGGAGGATTCTTTCCAGAGCGTCCAGCTCCTCTTCCATGTTGCCAAGGCTGCGGATTGTGCGACTCAGCGAACTGATCAAGTTTCTATTTGTATATAGATGCAGTTGACTATGAGAGTTAGTGAGTTGTCCGTTCCATGTGGGCTTTCTGGAGATGGATCTTTCTATTGCTACATCTTGTTCATAACTTGTTAATTGAACCTCTAGAGAAGATATATTTGTTTCGGACTCCTTCTCTAATGTAAACTGGATTGCAGCTATTGTAAATGTCCAGGATGTCCTCCAAATTCTTATTATTGGGGATAATGAAGGTATCGTTCACGTCTCATATATATGGACATCCTTTAGTTTATAAGCTGTTATTGTACATCTTTACTTTGTTTTTGTGGTGATTTTACGGTGCTGACTTCACACCGTATAAACGTAATCCCGAAAATGCTTTTGCCGTGCAACTAGTAAATAATGTTGCAGCATGTGCCGGATGTTTTCTCAGCCTTCAGTTAGATGTACTATTATGGTTCGTATCAAATAAAAACTAGCAAGACTGAGTTTTCAACACTTTCATGTATAATTTTAATTATAGCATCAAGGTAAAAATCAGTTTAGTGAAAATAGTCGTTTTGGCCTAGACAAGCTCTAATTTTTGTAAAGGTTATGCTGTAGTTGATCTACTAAGTCCTGATAAGTACAATAATCAGTTTGAGGATCTTGTATTCATTCTGCTTTTTGCATATGCACAATGATTATTAGGATCGGGTTACTATGTTTCTTGTGAATGAGTATGTCAGTATACTGAACTTAATAAAATAGCTCTAGTCTGAACATTTTTATCTACAGTACAGAATTTCCAAATTGGTCTTATTAACTCATACATAATCTTCAAGTAAAACAGTAATCTAAGGTATACCACTGGACGGAATCCCGTTCTATTTGCAACATGCTTCCCACCTCCAGCATATCTGTCACTTAAAAAAGACCAAGTGGTATGTTGGAAGCCATTGAAAATGCACGTGAGTACAGATTGCTCTTCGGTAACGCAAATAGATGGTTAAAGTATCACTGAGTAAATGTGACACTGTGCTTTGTAGGAAATTAGGTAACCCAGTGATCTAAGCAGCTCGCCATCAACCAATGTTTTACAAAAAATGTCAAGTTCAGTTAAGTGACGGGGTTATATTTTCTGTGGTATAATATCTTCGTGAAATGCTAACAGCATAAATCTCATTGTTCAACTTCTTAGTGTTGAGTGAAGGAAAGTTGCTCGTTGCGCGTTATACTTTGATTGCAGGTAGCAGTGAAGCATCGACCATTCACGTGCTTCTACCGGCACGTGCGATTCACTGCTAAGACTATTCCCCTAACAGTCCTTTTGTGTACTCTCGGCCGTAAGATCACTAGCCATGATTTAAGCCAGCGGAAACACCAAGTCGACGTCATGGTATTCCATGACTGGTTCGGAAATATAGTATTAAACTGTAGCACATAACATTGATTACTCGACTGAATCATAGTAGGCAGTTATCCATATGCTGCTCACCTAAATGTATGTGTAAGGACAAAACCGGTCGCGATCTTAATCCGTTTCCTTCTTGTCTCCGCTTATACTCCCACTGACTGCACTTTGGAAGGATTAAAGTTTATCACAGTCTGTTAAGTTTACAAGGAATTGGTGCTTCAGATATGGCTATGGTTATAAATTCTAGTGCCGACAAACCGAGGAGGTAATCGTTTCTTACAGTTTTCAGGTAATCACCTGTTCTTTTTAAAACATACAGAGGGACTTCATCTCTTTCGGTGACCTAAGGCACGAATCCAACGATAAGTATATCATTTCGTTATAAGTTGTCATCGAAATGGATTTGCGGGAAATTATCACCCCTTTATCGATGAAAGTGTCAGATCAGTACTTAGTAAGCATCGGTTTGACGGTTATATAAGTATAAAATCGTCTTCAACAGGATACTGATAACCTGTAGGCACTCTTAATCTCTGTAGATGTTCTGGTTGATATGATTTTGTTCAGCTAACATGCCTCAGAAATCTTTTTACTACTGGGGAAAACGTTGAATACGCAGACGACACGGTTTTTTTCTGGTGGAGATGTTGACGAAGTGCAGAGCCGTTTATACTCCCTGAGCAATAGTTAGCCATGTTTTGTATTCGCTTCACCTTAGATGCAAGATATTCCTATAAGACTGGTGGTTCGACTCCTAATATGTGAATAAAAAGTGAAGTAGTCGAATATGTTGGCCACTTCATTTATTTACGAAGCCGCATCGATCCTAGTGAACTGGTTATAGGTAAAAATAAATGCTTAGCATTTATCGCCTTGTGTGATCTTTGATACCAGATGAGTTGCGTGGTTACAAATCAATGGTCGTGTGTACGGCTGTTTATTTCCTCCTGCTTTAAGATCGTCAGATATAGATGTCTTGGTTTAGTTGCTTAAGTTAGGTGGAATAACATAGCAGGTAATGATGAGGTTAAATGTGTTAAGTAAAGAAGGCAATTCAGTCGGCAACCTGCAGCTTTTTCCATCTAAGTAACTGGAACATGTTTTATGTATGCTTATCTATCTTCTTCCTAAAAGATCAATGTTGGCTGAAGTTGGATTAAACTCCGAAATAGTCTGAAGTGGTAGGACAAAACGTGGTACCTTTCTATGAGGCATTTTACTGCTGGTCTGGCAGATTAATTAATCCAATGCTCACTGCTGACTACAGGATAAAATCCCTTAATCTCTAATTAGAAGTTGTGTCCGGTGGGGTTCTAAAACTTGCGCGGGGACAGATTCTGGTCGATGACGCTTAGAATTCATGGTTCTATTAGATTATGAATTTGGCTGAGTGGTAATGGGCTGGCCAAGTAACCTGTCAGTTCTGGGGTTTAGTTTGATGGGGTCCGGGGCGCGTACTCAGTGGAATGGAACAATTGTTTAGTGCTCCCTGGTTTTCAGCAGTCCTCCGACTTATTTTGGTTAATGAAGAGATATTTTCGGAACTCTAGTTTTGGGGAGTTCCCTGCCGAACATTTAATAAGAACTTATTCCTTACTAGGAGTCTTAAAGGATAAATATCATATTGTGAAAGCATTCAAACAGGCTGGAGTGATTATATCCAATTCTACTTCATCTTCAATCTTATGTATTTGAATGATTTAACACCATGTCGGATACCACCAGCCGCTCGACTTCACTGAATGACTAACTGAGTTCCAAGGTAGAACACAACATAGAAGTGCAGCGGTTCAAGTGGCCACACTTCCTGAGACACACAAAGGCAGAAAAATACATTTCAAAGGACTATAATAAGCAGAAAATTGAAGAAAGAAAGAATAGTAACATGGAAAAACAACAGAGTTTAATGGATAGGCGAAATCGCGAAGAGGGAATGCATCTGCGCCATTGGGAATGATTTTGAGCCATATCATCAATAGTCTTTTGTCATTGGTTCTTAGAATCTCTGACCAGGAAGGTTACTTTTCTCTACATATCTTAAACTAACTATCGAAGATTTCATGGACTGATTCCAAGTTTTGGCTTGACTACCACTAGCTCTCTTCCAACCACCTGGTCCTATGTCAGGTAACATTGCCCGCTGAGAAAGGCGATAGCTAGGCATGCGTTAGACATGTCCCAGCCATCTCAAATGACTTATCTTCACAACCTCATCGATCGACTTTCTCTCCTTACCTAACACTCGGACCTCACTACTATTGACTCATGGGATGATGAGCTCATATTTTTTGTATCTAAAAGGTTTACCTTTGGTCGCTTTAGTCATTCAGATTATTTATTCCTTATGTATACAGCATCAAACAATAGTTAACAGTGTGACTTCACTTGTTTATTGGATTTTTTTAGACTTAACGAAACCATTTAAATTATCATTCAAAGACTTTTGTGACAACTAGATTTTTCTTAGAAATATAAAATAGCTGTGCAGGACTATAAATTGATAAAATACTTTAAAGACCTCTTGGACAAAGTGGTGACCAACTTGTGTATCGGGCTGTGAGCCTCACATTATATAATGGTTAGCTATGTTACTTATGGGTTCAAACGCCGTTATTCAGAGTGACATTTATATCTAAACCAGAGTATCATCCTCTCATTGTACTAATGCAGTAGTATTGAGATGTGTTTTCTGAAGATGGTATTCACTGATATTCAGAACTGTAAAAGCATATTTATTAAATTTATTCTTAAGCAACACAAGAAAATTCCTGAGTTTTTTTTGATTGACTAAATTATAGTTCGAAGTATTCAGTTATAATGAGGTAGTCCTTTTATGTACATAACATTGGAAATATTAGATAACAACATATTTCTCATAAAGTCTTTTTCTTCACACTAATTTTTTGAGTACTCGCCTTTCTGACTGATGTGATTGCAACTCTGAGCTCATGATATGTGAGCACATGCATACCCCTTGAAAATCAATGCTGAATAGCGTATTCTGTTGTTTGTGTGCAATAGAGAAATATATTATGAATCGCTGGTGGCTGTGTGCAAAACAATAGGTTTGACTAAGTGATTTAAATATATTCCCCATGTTTAATGTAGAGTAGGTCAGATGAAGAAAACGACCGATTCATGCTGTTCACCATATTTTCTCTGGTTATAGCAGATAAGTTTGATGGGTTCGATCCGCTGTGTGACATCATACATCTTTCAGTTTTAGCTGAAAAAGCAACAATTTCAACGCCACTTATGATATGTTTTTCATTCTCAACTTCTTTGTCAGCTGCCATGCATAGAGCATCAATTGAAGAAATATTGTTGTTGATATTTTTCGTTGATCGGTTTCTCGAATGGGTATGACATGTTTTATGTCGATGAACACGGTTGATACGTTGGTTACGTCGTGTATGCGCCAAATGCCTGTTGATGCGTCTTCTAGAATTTCTACTGCTATGAGTAATACCCGTGTCAGTTGTAGCAGGGGAATCGGAATCACCAACTTGTGTTATGCTACATGGTATCTTCAAATTTCCATTGTGATGACATTTCCAATGTTTAACGACATATTTATTACTTGATTCTGGTACACTACTGTCAGAATAAATACTAAGCATAGTCAGTTTTTTCGCTTCATTGTTTGAAAAGTGGTTTACATTATTACTAACTGTCAGTCGATGTTCTTTGTGTTTTCTCCCACAATACCGTCGGTTACCAACATGCCTTTCGCCAGTTTTCCTTGTGAAGTAAGTATTCATATTTACGTTTGCTTCTTTTTCAGTAGGGTTCTTCGACAGCAACCTGAAATAAAAGGAAGGAATCCAGTGGATTTACTCATTTAGTAAATAAAATTCAAGGATCATATTTAAGATTCATTTAAATGATCGCAAGGTTTGAGTTAAGAAGTTATTGCCGATATAGGTATGATGCCTTTATTCTTTGTGATAATGGTTCTGATAGGAGTACAATAATTGCTGAATTCAATGAAGTACATTCGGCTATGAAGTTCACTTGTGAAGAGGAATCCCAAGACAGAATTGCCTTCCTGGATGTCCTACTTACAAGAAAACCAGACGGTAGCATAAAAAGAAATTTGCATAGAAAAAGCACTTGGACAGGACAATATACACACTCACAGCTTCGTTCTTGTCAATTACAAAAGAAATTTAGTGAAGACTCTCAGCCACAGAGTTAGAGCTATATGCTCAGAAGGAGTTATTGAAGGTGAATTAAGCATTGTATATGATACTTTGATCGAAAATGGTTATCCTGACAAATTTATCAAGAAACACATGATAAAGAAAGCGGAAAAGGACTACTCACCATCCGAAAACAAGAAACCTTTATGTATACGACTACAATTCACGGGCGATATACCAAGCGAGATAATTACCAAGAAATTAAGAAAATCAGTTCAAAGAACTTTTAATGCTGGCAAACTACACATATTATTCTCTACACGACCGATGGTGCTACTTCGACGGAAAGATGAAGTACCTAGACTGGCCACTTCAAATTGTATTTATCAATTCAACTGCGCTTGTGGAGCGAGTTATATTGGCCGTTGCTCTAGGAACTTGATTTTCCGCGCTCGAGAGCATACCCCACTATGGTTAAGTAAAGGTGTAGTTAAAACCATTAACATCTCGATATTAGACCATCTGGTGCAAACCGGTCACAAAGCCAGCGTAGAAGAATCCTTCTCTATAATATACCGGGTGCGTAACAAATTGCCAAGATCGTCGAAGCACCGCATGCTCCAAATAGCAGAGGCTATTGCACTTCGCCTCAAACAACCAATGCTCTGTGTTCAAAAGAAACAAGTCCAGCCCCTACTACTGCCCTGGCCCTCAGTAGAAACTATAAAGTCATGGATTTGTAATATTATCTTTCCTAATTCTTCTGACATTCAGCTTATTTTATGTTGATGCTATTAATATTATTGATTTGATGTTATTTAAACATTAATGTCGTTCATAAGACTAATTCATTCATTCATTATAATGTATATATAATTGTAGAGCCTAATGATGAATTTATCGAAAAGAGTACTCTTTGTTCCGTGTCCATTCTTTTAAGAAGTTGTCTGCTGCTGAGAAAGTGATGGTACATTTTGTGATTATTCATCTCTTATTTTAGAAATAGTCTCCTCACGTCTATTTTAAGAATTACAGCTATCAGTCTCGTGACATGTTTCTATTGAATGACAAGTGCCTTCATCATTATGTATGTGATAAGTAATAAAAGTCCTTCAGTTTAATGGTCTCTGTTAAAGGTAAAGGGATAGATTTGATAAATCAGCACAACTCTGACATAAGTTGAACATGGGGATGTTCGATGGGTTATAACTAACTTTCACATTTGAGCATCATATTTTCCAGAATTTATTCGCTTAAATCTATAAAGTAGCGAACAAAATAATATGCTTTTCATGATAAAAGAGTCGCCTAGAAAACAAATTGTTATGCATGAGTAATGACTACAAACTCAGTTGAACTACTACGACCTGGATAGTTACCACTAAATTAAAAGTATATATATATATATATATATATTGTCCCCTAGGGCTCACTGATGAGGAAGCCTCTTGTTGAATTACACAAACAACCGCTACATAATTTATACTACCAGTCTGAAACAAGATTATGCCAAATTTTGATGCTGTTGCATTAATCGCAATTATTTTGTGTACTGACCTTAGGAGGAGTAACAGCAAATCAAATGAGTGGATTTTAATCACAGAGCTACTAATAATTTAGCTAACTAGTAGTTCTGAGATAGGTATTTAGTGTTTATGTTTAGAATAGTCATTTGAACTTTGTAAATATTTTTGGTGTGAAGACAGTTGCATCTGTTTACTAAAATATCGATCGGTTGTTGAACGTTGGTCATTTAACAGTGCTACTAGGGCTAATTGCTTTTCCTTTTAACTGTTTCATACAAATATACTTCAGCTTGATGGGCTGTAGGATTCTAGTCATACTTAAGATTGTTTTCATTGTGAATCGATTGACAATAAGGCATTACATAATCTCGGATAGTTATTTTTTCCCCTCATTGTTTGGTATAAACTTTCGTGAACGCTCCTACATCAGAACTGAAGATAATCAAGGTGTAGATATAACTTGTACTTAGTGAAGATATGATTCAAGTATGACTAGTGTTGAGATAGGAGAACGGTAAAAATCATCTGGTGGTGCCGTGAACGTGCAATACTGGAGATAAATGAAACTCTAGATATATCGTATTTTACGTCCAGCTTAGAGTATCATGCTGGGTACAGTAACAGTGATTTTATAAAGTAATTGTAACAGTGAGATTGCACCATTTCATAAATTACAATACGTAGTGGGATTATTTTTAGAGTGCAATATTTCTCTCAGTTAGGGTTTCTGGAATATCTGAAACTGGTATCGCTGGCATCATTTACCAGACTTACTTTTCGCCTTCTTACGGTCAACTTCTACTGTTGTTTGTCTACTGCTCCCGCTTTTCTCTGGCTTTGTTTTCAAAATGTGACTGCTTATGTCGATAATTTTTGCTTCTGTTACAAAGTGACTTCCATTTATTTCTAAAGCACACTCACGTATGGATATTCCCATCTGAACCACTACAGTAGTTTAATCCATCAAGTTTTCATCTTCTAAATCTCTTGCAAATAAATGAAACTGAATGGTTATTTTAGTATTCGACTAGATTTAACTGAAAACTTGTTGGATACGTGGTGGCAGTTGACAACTTTCTCCTTCTCACCCAGAGTTTCTCATTTCAAGGATTTTAGGTCTCGTGGCAAACAAATCCCGGCAGGCAGCGGTTTGCACAATTCAACACTCGTCTGTTCATCGTGTAACAGGGATATCATCTTGTACTGTCAGGGTGTATCTGTCTTTCTTTTTTTATTTCCCCTATATTATACTCTCAGGTTTTTTTAAAGCCTTGGCATATCTGTATCAAAAATTGCAATTAGCGTGAAATGAGTTAGTTATAATGAAATTCCTACAAAACTAAAACCGGAACATTAATTAGTGTCAGCTTGTAATAAACGCCCATCAATATATTAAAATACATGAGTCGCTGATTATACTTAGAGCCTTTAGTTCGTGAACATAACATAAAGAAAAACGTGCTCATGACTGAATAGTTTCAACCTGCGCTTATTTAGGTATAAATACTGTTCGAATTCCAAATATTTATCCTGTGATATCAATTATTCATGAAGTAACTGGCTCATAGACTATCTAAATGTATCTATGAAGTAAATCGTTTCGAATATGACCTTTAACTTGAAGTACTGAATGCCCTAGAAATAATACTTCGATATGTTAAACTAGGTATTATTGTCAAATTTAAGAAAGTACCTCAGTCTTGTTGAAATGAACAGCAGTGTTTACATGAAAACAAATTCTTATACCATTCTTAACAATGCTTGAAAACACCGAAATCACAATACTTACGTTGTTGACGATCTCATACAACGATCCACTTGATTCTCACACTCATCTCTGTGTTTTTGTGTTTCACACGACACAGTATGTAGCTTCATTAGTTTGTGTTCCTTTGGATAAGGTGGTGGTGGTGGTGGCGGCGGCTTTTGCAGAGAAGTGGAGTGATGACCGCTTGTTGAATGCTGTTGTAAAGGTGAGAATCTTGTGGTCAAAGGATACGGTATGTTTGTGAAGTCATTGCTAGTCTGATGTAGTAAATCTGCCTCGATGCCAAATGAGGACCTCCAAATATGTGGCAACATATCACTGTTCAGCATCCTTGAATAGGAGTCTTTAATATTGGAGTAAAAACTCCTCTGAAATAACTCTTGTGGACTTTTTGTAAGTATATGACCTAAATATTGGAATAGAAGACATTAGTCGTCATTAGAATATTACCAAGAACAGAACGGATTAAGCAGATTCTATTGGCAGACATAAAAAACGGTTTTATGAATTATTTTGCTTAGTATGATCGTGAATAGTGCGTTGGTGGCACAGCGGTAGGATGTTCGCCAACCAAGCATGTGGGTCGGGGTTCGATCCCCGACCGACGCGCTCCTTTACCTCGCTGAGCCAGTAATAAGAGGGAGGGTTGGGCATGAAGCTGGTAACCCCATCCCATAAAAATAAACACCACTGTTACCGAAACTTCGAAGCTCTAACTTGAAGCCCTATGTTACACTGGGAATCGTAAAGGAATGAAAAAAAGATCGTGAACATTTAAAGTGAATTGTGTTTCCTAAGACTAGATACGAGTGAGGTCAAATTCGTATTAATCTGTTTAAAGAAAATAACTTTGAATCGTGTTACTCATTTCCATCTACCTGTCTATTGAAAGAAAACCTTTAGTTGCATCTGAATATGCCAATTATTTGCGAAGATCTTATTGATATTCGCCTGATAGAAGTTGCTACCAATAATAAGTGAAACAATTTCCGAAAACAGCAATACTGTAATTACCTGTCAGCACAGATGACCGGGACACTTGAGGAGCAATTCAGTCTGCATTCAGACATGCTAAATCTGCCCAGCATCCACTTGAATGGGATGTAGTCATCGGTCCTCTAACTGTAACTGTAGTTGCAAAAGTTACGTGTAATCTAAAGTGAGGCGAAGCAGTGGGGCCTGATCAAATCACTTCAGAGATGTTTAAGGATGGTGGTGCTGAACTGTTGTCTGGGTCAACTAGGTATAGGAATCCGATATAGTCCCTTTTAGAACTTGTGTAAGTTATTGATTATTCCGGTTTACAAGGGGGAGAAATGTCTTCCGGTGATAATCATAGGGGGGGATATTCTTGAATAAGACAATATGTGAAATTAAGGACGCAGTAATAATGGGTAGACTAAGCAGTGCTCAAGAGGAACAAACTTCTGAAAACCATAAGGCTTTGGGTTCAGACGAAAGTGTATTGATCATGTTTTCGGTCTTCGACAGGTCTGGGAACATAACCGTTTTTGACGGCGTCCAATACTTGCCATATTTCTTGATCTGAAGGCTGCATAGGTTGTGTGGCAATATTTGGCAGCTGAGTGAGTGCTGAGAATGTATATTGCGCTAATAAAAGGCACTCCAGTCGAACTCACGCAGCCGTGTAAGATCTCATAGAGATGTTATATGAATTGATAGTAACCAGTGGCGCCCGTCAGGGATGATCAGTATTTCCATGTCTTGACTTCATCATAGATGTACTGATGAATGTCACCCTGATTGACTTAGGGATTGACTTGTAACTAAGGAACAGTTTCCTCGGTCTAGATAGAGTATGCAGATGACATATAGTCCTTGTAGGTGAAAACGCTGAACACCTTAGGCAGAAGTCTTAGTGTGGTGAAAGCTGTCTACTAGCCAAATTGGTAGACAGTAATTTACGTCAATGTTTACGTTCTCAAGATATGAACAAGACTGATTTAAAAACCGACCAGAGCAGACTTTGCGTAGGCGGATACAGTTAACATATAGATGATCTGACATTCAAGAAACAGTCACAAAGAGATGAAAGATTAACTTTCACTGAGATACAACCAATCAGAAGACTGTGTTTGTTTGCTTAACTATTCTATAATAATATGCATGAAAATATATAAATATGCTTTGATTTCCTTAATAAACGATCTGTTGCCTGGCCCTTGTCTTCTGTTGTTACATTAGTACTTTCGGTATTCGATTTTACCCAGTCAAATGTGAGAAGGTAGTGCAGGACGGATCTTCACTGACTCATTGATCAGGATTGCTATGTTTGAGGGTGTTGACCGTTTCACTTATTTGGGAAGTTACATCAACCGTAATGGACTTATTGGTGAAAAAAGCTCATCACGGATAAAAAAGGCTCATGTGGCATTTGTCAACTTACGTCATCTCTGGCGTAGACATAATATCCAGCCATCGATCAAAGGACGTGTGTACTGCGCTATGAGACATTGTCAATGAAAGTGGAAGACATGAAAAGGCTAGCTGTTTTTGATCATATGTGCCTGCGTTCTATCTCCCGTGTGAAGTGGTATAATAGGGTGAGCAATATTGAGGTTGGACAACGGTCGAGTGCTAGGTGAGAAGGGGAAACCAATCGACGAGTCTGTGAAGTTACATCGAATGAGATGGTTAGGGCATGTGTTACGTATGCCTGAGCATCGCCTTCCTCGCTAGACAATGTTAGCTAGCTGACATAGGGTCAGGTTGGAAGAGAGCCAGTAGTGGTCAAACGAAAACATGGCATCAGTCAGTGAAATCCACAACAGCTAGTCACGAAGGGAGGTGTTCGGGTTGATTGGGGTCATCGGCGTGGTAAAAAACAATGGCTGCAGACAATTGGTGATATGACTCAAAATCGTTCTCAATGGCGCAAATGCATCCACTCCTCATGACATATAATATGCAAAAAAGCTATATTGTTCTTCGATATTACTATTCCTTTTGTCTCATATCTGCTGTAGACGCGATACCTGGCTATCAAATGAAGGGTGTATGTAATGTTCACCATTATGCGATGTCCTTCTCTGAAACATGTCCTTTAAAAGCCGTAAATATGAACCGTCTAGCTGTCAATGACCACGATGTCCTCATTGTATATCAGGTGTAATATCGTTAATAATATTGAAATAAGGGGTCAAGTAGTACGTAAGGACTCCGGGAAAGAGACAACAACCACAAGCACAACGAGGCAACGAGTGGCTAGCATGATGTCAACAGTGCCAGACAAAGCCCTAAGGCAGTCGAAACCAATCTCCTCATGTAGGATCATGACACCAAGATTCAACTCAAAAGGAGGCAAGGAAAGAAGGAAGGTCACAATTATCATGCACTGCTACACACAGTTCTAAAAACAACGCGGAACAACAGCATAATGGGGATTTCTACAGACAACTACAAACAGTAATGCACAACATCCCGAATGGCGACATCAAGATCATTATGGACGATATGAATGCCAGTCGAACTGGAAGCAGAAAATACAGGAAGAGAATTCATCATGGGTCGAGAGGCTCTCCCTCGGAGAAATGAATCAGAACGGAGAATTATTCTCAGACTTCTGTGCATTCAATGATATGATGGTGATTGCAGTCAGCGTGTACAAGCACAAAGATATACGTAGAGCAACATGGATCTCGTCTGACAGATACACCACGAACCAGACAGACTTCATCTGAATGCTGCTGCTCAAGGAGGTGGAGACGCAGTCAGTCTATTGGATACAAAGTCGAGAAGGGGAGCAACGAACCTTCAAGGTTGGGATGAAAGCATTCAAAACAACTAGAGACAGACCACAATTGAAGTCCAACATTCACAAAGTGAAGGACAAAACTACACGAGGTGACTTCACCACAGATCAGATCAGAGCGAAGTCGGGGAGACTACGTGGTATCACTTGGGAAACCTGTGTGGAAGAACATTGGAATTCTCTGAATGTGAGGTTCGGGGAAATGCGTACAACTGTTCTGGGAAGTAAGAAGGGACAAAACAAGGAATGGCTCTCAACGGACACCTACCTGAAACCTAATCGGGGAGAGGAGGATGGTGAAAGAGAAGATAACTCGATGCAAAGATGGACAATGCTACATGTCAAGTGACTCACAACGGAAAACTCAGTGAGGTGTTCGAAGTGAATGCAGGAGTAAGACAAGGCTGCCTGTTTATCATCACCCACGATGATATTCTTCATTGTGGTGGACTGGATTGTGCGCCAGACTGTGTGTGCTTGTGAGCGAGGAGACAGGAATACGTTGGACCACCGATAAGAAGACTCTAGAATAAGATCTGGGTTTCGCGTGTGGATGATTTATGTCTAGTGTCACACAAAGTCGAAGACGTAGAGGCAGGTGAAAGCCTTGTCTTGATTTTCAGATAGGCTTTGATATTCTCGTCAGTTCCGCCTGTAGTGTGAACGATGCTTCCAGGCAGGTAAAAGAGGTTGTTTCTTTTAGGTTCCTTCCAGTTATGCTGACTGTTGTCTGTTGTTGTTGTTGTTGTGGACAACAATACTCCAGGGAAATCAGAAATCCCGAATTCGATCAAGCTTCTGAAGTCCGGGAAAGCAGCAGGGCCAGTCGGAATACCCCCGGAAGCACTGAAAGCGGACCCAGAGACGACAGCAGATATGCTGACTGCACTATTGCGAAAAGTCTGGAAGGAGGGAAAAGTGCTTACTGACAGGAGAAAAGGTTACCTCGATAAACTACCAAAGAAGGGCGACTTAGGCCTCACTCTGCAAGAACTGGCGAGGAATCATGCTCCTGTCGACGCCAAATAAAATCCTGAGTCGCATCATCCTGGAGAGAAAAAAGGACGCACTGGATGCAGAATTCCGACCAGAACAAGCTGGATTCAGGAAAGGCAAATCATGTTTTGACCAAATTGCAACTCTACGCAACATCATCGAACAAAGCATTGAATGGCAATCAAACCTCTACCTCAACTTTATAGACTTTGAGAAGGCCTTCGAAAGCGTAGATCGCGAAGTAATTTGGAAACTACTCGAGTCCTACGGCATACCCCAAATATTCATCAACCTTATTCAACAGCTGTACGACAACGGCACATGTCAAGTGATCCACAACGGAAAACTCAGCGAGGCGTTTGGAGTAAACACCAATGATATTCCTAATTATGGTGGACTGGATTATGCGTCAGACAGTGGGAAACGAGAAGACAGGGATATCCTGAACCGACGTGAAGAACCTAGAAGACCTGGATTTCGCGCGTGGATGATTTATGTTTGAAGTCACACAAAATCGAAGACTTACAAGCGAAAACCGACAAACTGGTCAAGGAAGCAGCAAAGACAGGACACCAGGTGAACATAGACAAGACGGAGGTTATGAAAATAACCAAGCAACGACAACAACAACAGCAGCA